TGGCATTGTCTTCAGAGGAATTTTAGCCCTAAATTACCATTAACTAGCATCGTTTTGGTGCAATCCACGAACATAAGTTCAGCAATTCTTAAGAAACCGACATACTCAACGCATTGTGGAAACACTGCTGCTGCTAATTAACATTCACCGAATCATATGCTTAGGCGATTCATCGAGTTTGCAGAAAGAAGTCACTGTTTTCTTTTTGTTTGTAGAATTTTATGTTGCAATATTACAGTACAATATTAATGCAAATCCGTCATGTGAGATCCACTAGTAGCATCCTGTAAATAAGCAAAATATAAAGTTAGCTTAGTTGAGGAAAACGTCATTACATTTTCTGCATTTACATTTAGAAAGATGTGCTTACATAACTGCCACTGTCTCCTCCCAAGGTTGTTTTTTCATCTGCCTATAAGTAGGAATTTATGTTGTCATTACTAAATGTTGACTAAACCATGGCCTTTAAAAGTAAGCTTTTAGTAATATTACCTGACTTCATTGAGTATACGCCACTGTACACGACCTTTCAAATTATGAAAGTAAGATTTCCTGGCTTTGTCCATAATATCTCCAACCTCTAGATGACATTAGTTGGCCGGACAACTCGGCCATAATTACAGCTACAGAAATAAATACTTCATAAATGAACCTCACATCTCATGATTTTATAGCATGCATGGGGCACAATGCTGAACTTACTCATTTTCCCCTGAAATGTAAGCTTCAAGCCCACTTCAGGTTTGAAAAAAGTGTGCATCGTAACTTTAAGTGACAACTTTGGATCACACTGTAGGTAGCTAACTATTTTAACTCTCTACAAAAAGTGAAAATTAAGTACGCGGACTCAAATATCTCCTTATACGTATCATCTCTTAGAAATGCTTCTAGCACGTTCAGGATTTTCTTACACCAACTGATGATTTCCATTGACGATTCTCGAAATAAATAATTATTTGTGAATACTTACCGAGCCCTTGCCTATGGAGAGTCAACATCTCATTGTTAGCTTCGTTAGAGGACAATTTAAAGTATGTAAAAATTCACATTTATTCCTACTGGTTAGATACAGTTGTCCTGTCGCCAATAGGAGATGAAGTATGGGAGCTCAGGGCATTTAAGGTGCTTAAAATGAATGACATTTGATTGAATTGACACCTTGGAATCGGTGGGCCAATTCGTAGAATATATTGAAAACTGGATATTGTGGTTTGATGCAACCAGCTTCGCTGGCAGCTACATCAGTATCCACTGAGTTGTCAATAAATTCGTTGTCAGTCTTCTCTGCATCCCTAGAAAATATGTAAGACACAGAAAAAGGGACTTACCTTTTCGGTCCATTACTAACCATTGGTAAGGTGTCGTCGTTAGTGTCTACATTTTTATTGCTTAGACCACAGATTCTTAAGAGCTCTATAGACTTTTGACAATTCTCAAACTTATCTAGAAAGGTCATAATATGAGTATTCCAACTTACCATGTTCCCGAAGTTGACGGAATTTAAATAATGACCATCCATCCCCAGTATACATAGGCTCTAGATGGTCTTGCAGGGCTGTTTTAGGCACATAAACCATTTCGCACTACTCAAGTGTCTGGAATGGTAACTATACTGTTGTCTTTCACCAAGTGAACGACGAGAAATCTAACTGCTGTTGGTAAACTCAACGCTGTTAGTAACAGCTTCCTTAGGTACATGCTTCACACCTGTACTTTTCATTTGGTAAACTTGCTCAGCATAACGCTGAACTGCCTGCTTGGCCACAGCATATCCACAGTGAACGAAGTGTCTGATCTTACGCATATAGGAGATTCGAAGGGAAATGCACTGAATCCTTCTAATGGCCCGTGCAGTTGGACGTCACCTACTGTATGTTTCAGAGAATAAATATCGTAAACAATATGTCCACTTCCGGAACAATTCTTATATTGCAGTAAGAAATTACTTGAATCTGTCCGAACAGCATCCAAAAACAGACGGTGGTATTTAGAACTTGACAGTAAGTATACTGCCAGGGATAGTCTTAGGGAATTAGACTACAGGGCAGCGGCAGTGTTCCTGAGTAGGATGGAGCCCAAATATAATAGGAAAAGTCTACACTCGGTTGCCTTCCATTAGCTAACCTCAGCTAACGACCTTTGAAAATCAGAAAGAATGTGGTTTCTACTTGCAGTCCGTTGTCTAGATTCGCAATAACTTTACCATCCATTTGCTTTTCTCGCTGAGCTGTCAGACCCTGCCAACGGAACACCAAATTCTTAACAACACCAGGATATATAAGGTGCATAGGCTCCAAACGGAAAGATTTGACCATGTCAAGTGGCGATTCCTCAAGAAAAGTTCTCACCCGATGGTGACTTGCTTGAACCTTACCACGGAATGCATTATCACTTCTCAGGGCGTGGTTCCTATAAGACCCGACCGAAAGCTGCTACCATGACGTGGTGGTCGGGCTTGAACACCGCAATGACCCAACAAGCTACACTGGCTGGAACTTATGTTCCTGCAGGTCCTACCATGCCAGAAAGGTTGTTTGGATAGCGGTTAGACTAAAAGCAATTACCCAATCCAATCCTATGACTTCAAATAAATCACAAAATATCATGCCGGATCGGTCGGGGCCCGGATTAGCAACGACCGCGCGTTCTGCTGCCGTGTCACAGGGCAGAAGTGATAAATACGCTACTGAGACACACCAAATGAAAAACAACAAACAAAAACAGGCCGTGTGTGACCGGCCTCAAGCAGTTGTCCCCTGGGCTCTGCGGTCACGCAACCAACTTCCACGGTGTGGGCAGCCGGGAAGTGACAATCGCCCTCACAATCCGAAGTGCACGCGAAACCTCTCTAATCCTCACTCACCTTTGTCTTCATCTTCATCTCTATTATCTTGCCTTCCTTCCACTAATGCAACTCCTCTACTTGATGGCTCTTCACTTCCTCTTCACTCTGTGTGCACTGAAAACGACTGTTCCCATAAGAAAATGTCATCCTTCCCTTCGAACGACGACCAATGACGTCACACTTATCACGACCTGTTTTTTCATTGTGACCTACAGTTTGTTTGACATTAAAACAAGCACTAAGTCTGATTGTCCTAAAATAATGCCAGCCAGTACTGAATCCATGCTGAAATAAGGTTAATAAACGAATCCAGTAGGTTGTGAGCTACTTTTGTAAATGCCTACAACAATACAAGATGGTGAATTAGTTCGAGTCATTCTGAAAACCAGCGCTGAGTTCTAGTTTGTGTGGAAAATCATACCATTTCAGAATTTACTCGTTATGGAAAGTCAGAGTTAATTCAGAATTTGCGAGATTTACTTCAGGATTATTGTCAGCTTGGCTTGACTTCCACTTATCGATTGGACTTGTTAACGTATGCCGGACAGGAGTACTAACCATTGATGGAATTAGCTTTCTTTAAGAAGGGTCATATCATTTACGCATCTGTGTCAATAGAGTCTAGATTAATCGAATCCTGACACTTATCGACAAGGACTGCGTGCCAAGGAAGACATAGCTATCTAAGAGAACGAGTACACTCATAACCTTTGAATGCTCAATCAGATCAAGGTAGTGAAACCAGGTACAAACACCACCATATTTGCAAACGTGTGCTGAAAAAGGACAAGAATATCAGACAGAATACCTTTCATTAAACTCTTATTTAATATAAAGGCTTAATGCTGTGTATTCCTTCTTCTGCCCAAATTGACCAAGTTGATGCAATTGGTTGATTACAGGTCATTTTGTGTGTTTGTCCCCTCTTAGATCGTTACTCTTTAACTCTACTCTAATGACTCAATTGAAATGTAGCTCTACTGCATCAACTGGTTTGTTTTTCTTTCAAATCTAGAATTTCTGAAACCTAGTGCCCTCAGTTGGTGTATATTATTCCAATTTTTTTCATTTTACCTCGGTATCTGAGACTTGGTGTGTGTAGTGTTTTATACAACTTTCCATTTAAAGCATTACTTAAGTATGAGTGTTTGGAATAATGAACGTTTTTATGTGATCCTTATTGTCTCACGCACGCTGAGAAAATAATGAAATTTGCAGATTTTTACTGATGTAAAATCGTACTCATCTGGCTGGCTGGCTGGATTCAACATAGAACTTGGCACCGAAGTGCAGCAGTTCGAGTTGCCACGTTCCAAAGAGCACACAAATGTAGACAAGAAAATGAGTGAAGAGAATCAATAGGGTTTTGACAAGTATAAGAGTGAAACAGAATGAGTAGTGGTAGAAAGGAATATGAAAGATTACAGAGACTGAATACATCTGCGCCATTGACAACGATTTTGAGCCATGTCACCTAGTGTCTCCAGCCATTGATTCTTAGAGTCCCGAGGGTGGGCCCCAACCCGGAAGTCTGCATCTCCCTACCTGACTCAGTTTAACTGTCAGGGATTTCATGGATTGATGAGGCCATGTTTTTGTTTGGCCACCACTTACTCTTTTCCAACCAACCTGCACCTATATCAGCTAGTAATGCCCGTCGGGGGAGGCGATGGTTAGGCATGCGTAGCACGTGACCTAGCCATCTCAATCTGTGTAACTTTATAGCCTCTTCGATTGATTTTCCCTCTTTGCCCAACACTCTACGCCTAACGTCAACATTACTTACCTTATTATACCACCCAACGCGAGAAAGAGATCGTAAACATCTGTGGTCAAAAACAGACAATCTCTTCATGTCTTCAACTCGTATTGGCCATGTTTCAGAGCCATAAAGAAGGACGGAGCGAACTGCTGAGCAGTACACACGTCCCTTGGTTGATAGCCGGATGTCACTCCTACGCCGGAGATCGTTTAAGTTAGCGAAAGTAGCTCGAGCTTTTTGGATCCGTGTTGAGATTTCGTCACCAATCAATCCGCACTCATCTGGCAAACAGCAATGTCTCTAAGCAGTCCAGTTTATATTTCTCAACTGATTTGTGTAATTACTGTTTATCATTTTTGTTTTCCCATTATGTGTTTACACTTCTGTCTACAAATATTTTTTAGAAAGCTTTTGTTACCGAAACTGTCCCTAAAACCTCTATACCTTGTATGGCTTATTCTGAAGAGCTGAACTCTAATTTAAAGAATATTTTTAAGTTTTACAAACTTCTAGACTATACACAAGATGTATGCAAGCAGATATGCTTATATGCTGAATCAGTTTTAAAGGTATTAGGATATTTAACCTTCGTTTTTAATCAGCTACAGACAGTATGTGTGGAGAATCCTTTTAATCTTCATGATGATAAATGTACAGTGGAGTATTTACCTAATGAAAGTAAGTTCTTTATCATCTTTTCAGTTGATATGTATAGCCAAACAGATTTTTTCATATTGAAGAATTTTTTAAGTGAAAATGAAATAGACGCTTTGTTACTGGCTGCACTAACTGAATGGTGTTATCTACCTTCAGCAGAGAGTAATTTAAACACTACTGTAGATGTGATAACAAACAGTAAAAGTAGGTTATTCATCTTTAAAGTGAAACAATCTCTTAATAGAAATATCTACTAAGAATCCATGGTATTGTAAACTACGTTGGGTAACATTAGGATATCATTACCAGTGGAGTGATAGGGTAAGTTTAATGGTTTCTTTATTTTTGTGTTTTTAGCGTGAGAACATCAATTTCCACTTTAAACGTTTGGGTTGGTCTGTATTTTAATTGCGTCGGTGAGTGAAGTCGTACTGCTGGGGAAAAAGGATGTTCCCCTCAGATGACCAGCACGCCAGCTATGCTGTCTCTCCACTCTGGAGAAAGGGGGTCAGAAAAGGTCGACCCCAACATTTGTACATCCCAACTTACCCTACGGTGGTCCGTAAGTGGAGGTAAATTTACTAATAGGGAACCAAACCAAGAAACCAGTTCATACAGGCCGTGTGTGACCGGTCTGCCTCAAGCAGTTGTCTCCTGGTCTCTGCATTCACGCAACACTAACCCTCTTTCTGTTTCAGGTACCTCAGGAATAAACCAATTTCCATGGCCGGGAAGTAGCAACCGCTCACACACTTCCAAAAGCACACTAAGCCTTCCTGAGCATCATTCTCCTGCAGCTGTAGAATGCTCGCCAACCACGCCACATGCGGTTCGGGGTTTGATCCCCGGCCGTCGCACTCCTTTACCTCACTAAGCCAATAATAAGGCTGGTAAAGAGGGAATGTTGGGCATAAAGCTGGTTAGTAACCCCATCCCGTAAAAATAAAAACACCACTGCTACCGAAACTTCAAGCCTCTAGTTTGAAGTCCCCTATGTTCTACTGGGAATGTAAAGAAATAAAATATTAAAAAATTATATTTGTAAAATCCCAGCAAAATTGAAATGCGTAATTTCAACGTTTCGTTCGGTAAACTGGTCCGAATTTCTTCAGGGAAGTTAATCAAAATTAACATAACAGAGGTTTATATATAAAAAGGACATCTCTTGTTTTTAAGAAACTTTGTCCAATCATATGAGTCATGAAACAGACATCAACATGTATAATAAACAAAATTGTATGAACTGCGATCGAAATTTGACCTCAGACTTTCAAAATTAGTCTACTTTTGTTAAACAATTTAAACAGAGTGTACTTTTCATCAGATTACGTAAAACATTGGAACTAATCATTTCTATTTCGCTGAGATTTTACAAATGTAATTTTTTACAAACGTCTACTTCTCATTCGGCGCCCAATTATTTTGGAACTATTCGGTCAAATCTTGATCACAGTTCATATGAAATAAAATAATATTTTAATTATTCACTGTGATTAAAGCGAGTGACTGTGTCTAGCTGGTATTGTAGAGAAGAAACGCCGATGAGGTTCGAAGACAACGTTTATTAGGACAAACTCATTGTAAGTACGTAAATTTAATTAGGTATACCATATCTTCAATGCTTTATTTGTACATCATTTGCAAATTGGTCGAATATCCCCCCCCCCACATTCGATAGCTTGTTGGATGATTCTGCACAGTGCTTATAACGTTCTTCTCAGAGTTCTGTTCTTCGACTGCTTTTTCCAATGTCCGAAGTATATTGTTGCTTTTCCGAGTTCGTTTACTGATTTACTAATTATATCTGATTATAAGTAGCACGCAGCACATTATCAGTACACTCTAATTACTATACAACCGGAATATTCATGCCATTTTTCCACTGTACCTTTAAATGAAGGTAATAAATAAAGGAACTCCTTAATTAAAGGAATTTTTGTTATTCCGATTCTTATGTACCTATTCGTTCTTACATTCACTATTATAGGGAAGATAAAGATATATATCTCTCTCCCTTAGGGACAATCCAGGTACCTTGTGCGTATGTAAGGTTGTATTTGAACTAGATCCAAATATCTCCTTGGTGTTCCTAAATTTGCCGGAATGTTACGTTGGTATATATTCAGTAATATATAGTGACTAAATGATTAAATGTCAACGCGGAAATTTGCACTGAAGTGTAACAGTTCATGTGGTCAGGTTCGAATCTCAGAAGAGACATGAGTTCCTTCGAGGTTGCAGATACGCCTTGCTGATGAGTGCCAACTAGCAGCAAACCTAGGTCAAGCAAGACTTCCTCTCGATTGCCTCCAACCATCTGAAAACTGATATGTTTACTATAGTTTCAGTAATTATTATGGTGAGACGGTATGGTCGTCTACGAAGGTTTCATGTATTCAGTTACTAGATGTTGAATTTCAGATGAGGGAGTTATCTCCTTAAGTTTCTGGAACATGTATCATGAACGCGAAGCTCCACCTTTCTCTAAACGTTAATTAACAGTTAGGAGAAAACAAATGGTGGTGGTCTGATCGTTGCGTTTGGTCTTGTCAACCCACCCAGTCCCTACAGCATTGGTCTGAGTTGTGTGGTATGGTTGGTTGGAGTCAACATGACAACCACTACCTATCGTTGAACACACTAGGTGGTGTATGGCTTAGAGTCGGCCACAGATGCATGTATACTTCATATTATTTGCTATATTGCATCTCTTTTCTTCGAAGGGAACTCTTCGACCTTTATTTGTTTGTCTAATATCTCTCTCTATGCCCAGTTAATATTCCTTATATCCCATATAGAAATCTGAGTTCTGGCAGTTACGTGGGGTGGTTTTCCTTCCTAAAACTATATATATATGGTATAACCGTCATATCTTGTAATTGTTTGTACTGTTGGAGTATTCTTCTCTTAATATGTTAGTGGTGTGGGTCTTAGTTATGTTCTGATTTCGAAATATTTTATCCAAAATGAATTTCTATGTTATGCATCTTATTCTCAGACTTACGATCAATCCAAAGTTGGAGAGTTCCCCTCACTGTTGAATGAAATCACTGTGCATGTTGTGAATTTTCTTCGTCATCTCATAGAAACTGGCAGTATTTCTTCTAGCAACTCTACTCGTTTACTAGAAAAATGCCGCAAGTATAAACCGGAGGCTTCCATAGTAAATTATTATCGGACAAAAACCACTATGGGTTTTCATTCTGATGATGCAGAATTGGACAAAGAAGCTCCTCTGGTTTCAATAAGGTAGGTATGCGTCGTAATCTTCTAATTTAGCTTAGATTGAATTAGTATTGTGTACGTGTACCTCATGCTTAGGTAGGCGGTGTACATTAAGATATCACTTAGAATTAGATTAATCCTTCCTTATCCATCACTTATGTCCTATCAAGTTATTATTTTTTTAATTATTTTGATTACAGCTTGATTCCACACCGTATTTTCAGTACAAGTGTGGAATTTTCAGCATGGATATCGGTAGCCCAAATTTACAGGCCGACCATAGATATCGGGTGTGCGCCGGCAGGGGATCGAACCCCGGACCATGTGCATGGTCGGCGAGAGTCCTAACCACTGTGCCACCGACGCACTAAAATGCTAAATGGCATTAGGCTTCATAACAATATACATTTGTACTGAATTTATTTATACATTCGTATTTTAGTAATTCACAGCTGGACAAAACACTTCAGTTCTTGTTTGTGTGGCATATTCATCTTCACCATAGGTGTACTGTGATGAACTGAACCCTAACTGACGTCACCCACTACAGGGATTGACTTGTTACCACCAGGGAATAATCTCGTTGATTTAGTATATGCAGATGACATAGTCCTTCTAGTTGAAGACGCTGACAAAATGCAAAGTCTTTTGAACACCTTGAGCAGCGTGGAATCTTCGAATGTTTGACAAGCAAATGGCTCCCCTTGTCAAATGTAAAATGATGATGCTACAGGAGTGAACTGGATTACATTGACTTCTAGCTTAGAGATAGGCTGGAGTGAAGTGGTTAGTGGAGCGTGTTGACCACTTACTTCATTTATATGGGAAGTTGCATCAGCCAACGCCAGCGGGTTGGTCGTTGACAAAATCTCAGCACGGATACAGAAAGCTCGATTGGCATTCGGCAACTTGCGCCATCACTGGCTTAGCAGATGTGATATCCGGCTATCAACCAAAGTGCATGTGTACTGCTCAGAAGTCCACTCCATCCTCCTTTATGGCTGTGAGTGAGACATATCCATTGAAAGTGGAAGATATGAAAAGGCTAGCTAGCTGTCTTTGATCATAGATGCCTGAGTCCTATCTCCATGTCAGGTGGTGGTATAATAAGGTGAGCAATATTGAGTTGGTTAGGCATTGATCGAGTGCTAGGAATTCAATCGACGAGGTTGTGAAGCAGTTACACCGATTGAGATGCTTAGGACATGTGTTACACATGGTAGTCTAGCCGCCGCCTTCCTCGACAATGGACAATGTTAGCTGACGTAGGATGGATCGGGTTAGAAAAGAGCCAGCTAGTGGGTGGTCAGACGAAAACATGGCTTCATCAGTCAACGAAATTCACAACAGTTAGTGTAAGCCAGCCAAGTAGGGAGGTGTAGACTTCCTGACTGACTGGTTGGAGTCCTCGGGATGGTGAAAACCAATGGCTGGCGACAGCTAGTGATACGGCCCAAAGTCGTTCTCAATGGCTGACGCAGATGCATCCACTCCGTGTAATTTATAATATCCAATAAAATTCTATTGTTCTTCTATATTACTATCTTTTTTTGACTCATTTCTGTTTATTATCTCTGTTTTGAATCTTCCTCTACTCTCTTCCTTTGCTTTGTGTGCTACGAGGACGGAGAGTAGAAACTGGAACTGCTGCACATATTTACAAAGTTTTACGTTAAAACTAATCAGTTGTAATTTTCATCTCACTCATTAAGTCACGTATTTGAACCCTACTGCACGGTATGTTTTGAAAAACTTTGTGTAATTAGTACCCATATAAGAGTATCTGCTCACTACACACATAATTCCGCGGTTGCCTTACCTGTATTGCAGATAAGGTAGGCTGTGGAGAAAACTGTTCAACGAAAGAATCTACGGGTTAGCGATAAGGAAATAAAACCAGTTTAATTAGTCAGTAGGTGAACACCTATAAAGAGAATTTGCCGAACAAGAAGACCCATCTGGGCGCTATCAGCGAAGTGAAGAAGTGCAATGTTGAAATGCCTACGTCCAGAGGGAGTTTGATAAATAACTTTCCAAGTCAAACCAACTGATTTCAACAAATCTTGTAGTATGCTTGTTCATGCAGTATGTGTTCTCACAAAATACTAAAAATGAAATGGTGTTATATGCGGCAAAGTTAAACTTTAAACACCACGAACTACCAATCAGTGAATGATCTCGATCGCACCAATCATGTGGAGGAGGCATTTTTGTGTATGGAATACATATATTTATGAAAAAATATCCCTAAACTAACTGTAATCTAACTCGAACCAAACCTACTGTCGCCTTTATTAGGTTTACCTAACCCCAACTTGTCCTTGGCTTAAAGAGTAACTTAATCTTTCTCAAACCTAAGCTGACACTTGTCAGATATCCCATTTTATAATATAACACTTGGATTGGTATATTTTATTGATGATGACAACACTATTTCCTGGATTTCACTAACTTGCTCAGTGAGCGTTTAAAGGTCATTGGTGTGGTCGTACTACACAGGTAGTTAGTGGTGTATAAAGTTTAACTTGGCCTTATATGCGAAGTTAGTATTGATTTTGCCTTTGTAGTCAGTATACATAAAAAGTGAATGTTATTTCTTCTTTTTCAATTATTGTAGTTAAATAATTGTGTACTTAATTTTTTCAGCATTGGACCTACTGCACTATTCTTACTGGAGACTTCAGAACCTATTGACTGTCAAAATAATCCTGTACATGAATTCACTAATTCTAATACCATATTACCAGTTTTCCTTCAACACGGTGATGTAGTAATTATGGCTGGTAAAAGTCGTTTAGCTCGTCATGCTGTTCCCAATATCTTCTTCAATGATATTCCTAATGTTGTATTAGAAACAGCTCAACGTGTCAGTCACAAGGTTTGTGAAAGTGTTGTACACGAGAAAGGCAATGACTCATGTTTACACTGTCAAGAGTTTCTACAGTATGCAACATCTACACGAATAAATATGAATGTGCGTCAAGTGATGCCTGTAAATGAATAATTTTTCCTTTTTCAAAGTATATTAATAAAGAAAAATCTTATTTGTATTGTTAGTTTTTATAAAATATGTAAATATAGTTTACTTTCAAAAAATAATAATAATAAAGCTACTGCTTCTTCGAACCTCTGTTTTTCTCCGTCTGCACATTGGCTTTCATCGTTAGGGAAGTCAAACGACAGTTCACAATATTAGTGTATATTCTTAGTGTTATATTTAGGTAAAATGGTATACCTGGGACCTATAAAAATCTAGCTAGGTGAAATTAACGTTGTTTTCAATGACATTTTAGTTGGCAGAGATTAACTATAAAGCATTTCTAGTTAGAGAAACACTGGAACGCAGGAAGTACTTGATAGCTGTCTCATCCCAGCTCGAGCCTCTTCAGCAACGGATGACAGGACCTTCAGATTACGATGCTAGGCCATTCACCACTTAACCACCACAAGAATCTCATATAAGATATCTTTTCGGTGATTTCATCCTCAAAAGAATCAATGTTATTAAATTCAACATAGTGACGAAGGGAGATTAGGGGTGATAATAATTTCCAACTCAGCAAGAAAGTTTAAAGGTACGATTACACGGAGCATAAAAACAAAATTGCATAGGATTGGAGGATAGTTACCTAATAGTTTTCATGAGTTCACCTGCTCACCATATGAAAAGAATCTGGAGCGTTGACTTGCTTAGAATAGTTCTTACTTCTCAAAAATATCCTGGCTCAAGTAAGATATCCAACATGTTTTGTGGAGAGAGCAGAAAACTGAAGCCAAAATGAGAAGAATGCGATTTACAGCCGAAGAATATACGGTATATGAACCTGTCATTTAAGGAGACTTAGCGGCAAATCTCCTAAAGAGTAGAATCTCTCTCTCTAACAGTGATACTCCCTAGTCCCACACTGCGTCTAAGCCGTGTGAAGGATAAACTGTCACGTATAATCACTTCAATATGCACAAATCAATTCACCTCGTGCGTAGCTAGGTACGTAGGTCTTCCTTTAAAAAAGTATTAGAGAACTCTACCTGGCATGGCTGCAGAGGTAGTACTGGTACAATCACAAGCGCCATAACTGAACACCTGTAACAGCATCTGAGTCAGAAAATGAACAAAAGTCTGCCAAAGGTAGTTTATTTCTGACTTCTTTTTTCTACAGAAGGCCTCACCACATTCATCGAAAAGCCGGAGATGTATTCAGAAGAAACTAGTCCAACCTCTACATTTACCATGGATCTAGTTCTGCTTGATTGCTTACTTTTGTTTGCCTGATTTTCATCGCCTTCACTTAATAAAATTATCATTTCTGTTTGTTTCTATACTCATCCCATTCACACTTGTCTTCGTTAAAAACCACTTTATATATTGCGCAACTATTTTACACTCCTATGTAACTTTGCTGCTGTAATCCCTATTCACACTTTCGAGTTGAACATTATTATTACCTCTAGTCTCCCTTCGTCATTGATTTGCCCCCGACCGACAGCTGCTACTTTGACATGGTGGTCGGACTTGCACATCGTAAGCACCCAAAAAGTTGCACTGACTGCAACTAATGTTCCTGCAAGGCCGTGTGTGACCGGCCTCAAGCAGTTGTCCCCTAGGCTATGCGGTCACGCAACAATAACTCTCTTTCTGTTTCAGGTACACCATGAATAAATCAACTTCCACGATGTGGGCAGCCGATGAAGCCCTCCTGATCGTCATTCTCCTTTACCCCCGTCACCCTGATCATCTTGTTTTCTTCCTACTGTTAATACTATTCTGCAGGCTAGTCAGTCACCTACATTTTATTTTTTTAATTTATGCCACTTCAGCGTGCATATACCAGTTTACTTGCTCTTGTGGAGGTGAGTACATCGGCCGTACCGTGCGCTCGCGAACACTACCCAGCCTGGCTAGTAAAAGGAGTATACAGTTCAGTGACAGAACATCTAGTCAACTCAGGACATTCAGCGCCTTTCAAAAAATCCTTCAAAGTAATATACAAGATCCAATCAAAGGGAGTGAAATCAAGACATCTGGGCATAACCAAAGCACTAGCTATACAAAAGCTCAAACCCACACTTTGTATCCAAAAGAAATACGTTCAACCCCTGTCCCTGCCATGGCCATCATAAACAGGTAAATTTTTTATCAATGACCATCCCATCGCCTTTCTTATCTAAACTTCCTGTTTATTCATGTTATTTTAAGTTTTTCTTAATCCGTGTCTACACTACCACATTTTCATATCCACACTTCCTGTTTATTTTGTCATTTTACTATTTCTACATATTTAATCCCTGATTACATAAACAATTATTCATCACATTAGTTTCTTATCCAAAAATCCTGTCTATTTTGTTATTTCTACATTTCTAACCCCCGATTGCACAATGTCAATCTTCTTAGTCATTATGCTACTTTGTTTGACTTTTATCGGTCCCCCTGTTTATTGTGGCATTGTAATTCCTAATTGTAATTTTATTAATTTGACCCTTAACCGGAAATTATTCTGGAACTTTCCCATCCATTTGATATAAATACACGAATGTACAGCCTAGATGATGACTTCGTCGAAAAGAAAATTTTCTTCGCTGCAACAGTCTTTTTATTCCCTATGGTCAAATGTGCATATTCCGTCATTTTACTTTGTGACCACAAATAACGATGAAAGCCAGAAAATCACCCTCGACAGCCTATTAAAGCCGTGTCGCCAACATCATATTGGAGCATTTAACGTCAGGACCCTATGTCAAATCGGTGTAGCAACCTGAATTGCTGCACATGTGTGCAGAGTTCTACGTTGAATTAAATAATAGTTGTAACTACGTAGACTTATGTTTAGGTATATAAATGCGATTGCACAGTTTTTGAGGATAAAACCACTGAGAAGATATCTTGGATGGGAATCCAATGACCCGTGAATTGTAACTTTCTCCAATTCACGAGAGACAGCACCACCGCACGCCGAGGAGTCTTCAACTAAGACGAAGCAGTTGTCTATTTTTCATGTAATCTAGCTCGAAATCAGCTGAATCCCCGAGAATCAACAAGTGAAAATAGAAAGCATAGATAATTATATTTTCTTCAAAAAAAAATAGTAATAAATATCAAAATGAATCAACAAGATAATGATGACTTTATAATTCAAATCACCGTGCTGTGTGTGTGTATGTATGTGTGTTTATTACACTCGGAAATAAGGGCCACTCGTAGTTCGACTTAGCATAGCTTCATTTTGTAATCTTGATGCTGCCTCCGGTGCTAATCGATTTAATAATGGACGAATAGACGGTTCAAGTGCGATTATAGCTCCTGTATAATAAGGAGAGAGAGAAAGAGGGTAATAGAATAAAACGCGGATATAAGGATTATAGAAAATAGAATTGTATCTGTCATATAAGTAAGTCAATTTAATGTACAGGTATGATTTTACATTTATTTGACAGTTAAACAGCACATCCACGAAATGCATTAGTTAGGAATGTTACTTCATATTACGCAAAGTTGAATTTGAATTGACAAAGGATATCCAAGCCCTAGTACCAAAGGCGGTGATCACGAATTTCGCTAAGCAACTACCAACACTACATAATGGCTACTTGATTTCCCAGCCTCCTATTTGAGCGAGAACACAGCAAGGTGAGACGGAGAAGTACCTTAATACAAGGAAACAAAGAATACTGGATACACGGGTCAATGACGTAGGTGTTATAACGGATAAATCCATTGGCTTCCTGTCTAGCTATCTATCTATAAGAAAACAACTCCAATTGATTCATTGATCTAGAAAACAGTTAACTGTTTGCAGTATCTTTTATCACTGGATTTTACCACTCGTAAGTGCTCACACAGTATACTGAAATACTATACTATCACGATAACTGCTGTTTTGAACTCAGTCCCCCGGAGAGATCATCCCTGTTCCACGTTTTCAGCTGCCTAAACTGAAGTAGGTGGGGCGGGATTTGAACTTGACACCCACCGCTGGTTGTAAGTTAAATCATTAGGCTAATGTACAACAACGTCCCCAAAAGTATTATTTATTGTCTCCTTTAGTTCCTAGAGGAAGACAGGGCGTCAGCTGCACGCCTCCAATGCATTCGATTCTTTGCCAACGTATTCACCTGGCTCCACGTCTGACCACATGCTTTCATCTCCTCTTCACATGACCTTCTCCATGTCACCAAAATTGAACAGTCAGCAGACCGACTATCACAGCTTTGTCGCATTAAGTAGAAAAAAAGCTAACCTTATCAAATCCCTCCTCACAACAATCAGTCACATATGCACGGAGGAGGACACACTAAATAGCAAAACTGAAGTCTTTCCGTAACACTCCAAGTCAGAATGGTTACCCTCCGCCATTCATCAATAAACATATGAAAGGTAAAATGGACAATCCACAAAAGACAGAAGTACCGAAGAAGCAGAAGTTAGTGGTAAACGTGAAATTCAAGGGTGATGCAACAGCTGAAATTCTTCGAAGTGGACTATAGAGAAAGAGAGAGAGAGAGAGTAATTCGAAAAACATTCCTCACCGTATCCTTACGTTTCACCTTCTCGAGACAACCTCCTATTCATCAAAACGTACCCGTAGGGCACTGTTTAGATGCGCACAAGAACGCCTCCTAATACTATTGTCGAAAGGAGAAATTAGACGGACCAACAGTTCAATTCACGAGCACCTTGTTCTCACAAATCATCATTCCGAATCAATATAAAAATCTTTCAGAGTGATATATGAGGTAAGGCCAAATTGGGGGAAAGGCTTTTCAGCTAATTCACACAGGGAGAACCCTGAACTGTGTATAGGGAAGTGTTCTATACAAACCTTCCCATATAATAATGGCCTTAAACTTTTCTTTTTTCATCTCTAACAGTAGCTTGGTATGCAATCCATATTCATCATTTAGTTTCTGTCTTCATCTTACCTATTTTCACTTCAAACTCCTAACTTTAAATAATACTTTTTAAATATTCTGGACCACTTACTCTTCTAGACAATGTTCTTGTTGCGAAGTGCTTGTCATATCTTAACGGTAATCACTTCTGAATGATGTGCTCATCACCCAAAAGTTTTTGGACTACATAATTCACTAAGTTTGTTTGATATGTGAGCTCGCATGACTGGTTTACTAACTAACGGATATGTTCAGTTGAACTTATTGGTGGTAATTCCCTGACCACTTACTTTGCAGCAGCACTATATAACTATACAGCTTTGAAGAGAAGTGACGAAAAGAATATTCTTTCATGACTGTTGTGTTGTTAAATTTACTTTTGTTCAGATTTGATTGAAGATTTAGCTTGCAAAGTTGATTTTCATGACTTTCAGTCGATAGGTCTTGGGCACACACACACACACACACACACTTCGATCGAGGCGATCGTATAGTAGTATCATGAGGTCTCACAGCTTTGTACACAAATTTCTAGTAGGTAGTGAAGTGGTGTGTGATTAGGCATCAAACGATTACTGTTATCATTATCATTAATATTATTATTATTATTACTATTCATAGGATGTTGTTTCAGCGTAAAATCCTAAATTAAAAATACACATAATCTGAAAAATGACGTTATTTTTTTAATTTTGATTACAGCTTGATGCCACACCGTATTTTTAGGTACAGGTATGGAATTTTCAGCATGGATACCGGTAGCCCAAATTTTGCAGGCCGACCATTGATATCGGGTGTGCGCCGGCAGGGGGTCGAACCCCGGACCATGTGCATGGTCGGCGAGAGTCCAAACCACAGTGCCACCGACGCACTTCTAAACATTAAGTATGAGAAATACAATGACTTTGCGAAATAGTATCTATCAGTGTGACAGCGATAATGTGGCTTGGTACATTGGTCACAATTCCCCTTATTTTTTATAACAACATTGTGTTGCTATCTGTTCGAAATACTACTGATGAGATATTGTGTAGAGCTTAAGTGTTATGCTAAACAGCACGTCGATAACTATTTTTCTTTTGAGTAGCCAGTTTTCCACATTTCAACTTATACTATGTATACTCCACTGGTCATAGTTTGTAGATCACTAGAAAAGCGAAATTTTAGACATACATATATATGTGCTGATGTTCAGGGATAAAAAGAAAGCCAACATACACATTCACACACCAGTCTAAATAGTTTCATACAAACAGTTTCAGTAAAACGGATATCTAAGTGACGAAAGTAACTGGGAGACAATAGGCCAGAGTTGGACTGTTGAAACTGTCTAACCATGTAGTTTGTACTGATAAAGGTGTACAGATCAATAAAATTACTATTGTTACACCTAAGTGTACCTTTTATGGATAATGAAGGGTATCTATACGAACTTCACCGATGATATATGTCTGATTTCCCACAAACTGGAAGATATGCAAGTGAAAAGCAACAAGTTGGCAAAAGAAGCATCAAATATAGGCCTTCAGGTGAACATAGAGAAAACAAAGGTGATGAAGATTCCTGGCTAACAGCAACAACAACAGTCAGCATAAATGGGAGAAATCTGAAAGAAGCAACCCCCTTTACCTACCTACCTGGGAAGCATCATTTCAACTACAGGCGGACGGAACTGATGAGGATATTAAAGCAAGGATCGAGAAAACAAGACAAGCTTTCATTAGTCTCAAGTGTGTGTGGAGGTCAACAGCACTCAACATGAAAAATAAACTCCAATCTGAAGCCAGTGCTAATTACTTATACGGATCAGAGATTTGTCGCGTTATAAAGAGCACCTCAAACAAACTACAGACATCCATCAACAGCTAGCTGTCTTCACTCAGTACTACTCAAGATCAAATGGCCGGCCAGAAAAGATCAGCAACAGGAAGGGATCTGTGGTAATGAGCGAACCAACCAACCCAGTAGGAACTAATTGTGCAACAAATACGCAGGAAGAAATGGATGTGGATTGGTCATACTCTGAGAAAACAAGCCATCAAGTGAGTGACATTACACGCCAGGCCACCACCGAACGGGAAGCGGCGAGTTGATTTTCCGAGGGTGATTTGGAGGAGGTGATGTAAAGAGAAGATGAAAGTATGTGGGCAGGCGTGGAGCCAGGTGAAAACGTTGGCAGAGAACCGAACGCAATGGAGACGTGCGGCTGAAGTCCTATGTTTCTCTAGGAACTAAAAGAAACAATGATAATCTATGTGAACTGTGACCAAGATTTGACCGAATAGTTTCAACATAAGTGTGCGCCGAGCGAGTAGACATTTTCAGAAAGCCGACAAATTCGGACAGATACCTAGACTACTTTACAGCACATCCCTTTAACACTAAAGTAACTGTGGCCAAGAATCTGATTAATAGAGCCGGAAGTCTAGTTAGTGAGTAGGAGGAAGAGATCAGCAGGGGACTAAAATTGACTGAATCCACTCTTGAATCAAGTAATTATCCCAAAAACCTTCATAAAAATATATAAAATGTGAAGATAAGTATGGAAAGAAACCTGTTGCCAAGAATTGGATCAGTACAGTGGTGCAGATGCATCCACTCCTTGTGACTTACGATTTCCAATAAAACTATATTGTCCTTCGATATTACTATTCTTTTTGCCTCATATCTCTGTTTACTGTCATTATTTTGCATTTCTTTGTACTTTCTTCTCTGGCTTTGTGTGTTACATGGAGTGCGGCGACTCGAACTGCTGCACATCGGTGCAAAGTTCTATGTTGAAACCAGCCAGTCAGTCAGATAAAGCGAATCTTTAACAATCATGACATAAGAGTGTATTTCCGTGAAATTAACACTTTACGCTCCTCATCACTGGTGAAGGTTAAGGATAAAATAGAAGACAACCAACAGAATTGTGTGTACCAGATCAATTGTGGGGAGAATAACGCCGTATATGTGGGAGAAACTTCCAAACAGTTAAATATAGGAGTAAAAGAGCATGAACAATGTCTAAAGGTGGTTCCAAAGACCTCTGCAGACTTAAAGAAGCTAGGAAACAGATCAGCGATTGCACTGCATTCGATAGAAACGGGACACAAAATCGACTTTGATAGGACTAAGGTTCTACAGAAAGGTTTTGGTTCGTATAAAGAAAGACTGACTGCAGAAGCTTTGTATATATGGATGAATCCCAACAGTTTGAACAGACGTGAGGGTGTGATGTTGGCTGATGCATGGCAAATCCTGATTAATAAATAAAAAAGTGGATATGTATCACTAATTAATCATACTTCGTCTAAATTCCCTACTGTCTATATCTTCTTATGGAGAGGCTAACAAATGATTTACAACTGTTTACCCATACACACGTACACACACTCACCACTATATACCACATATACAAGTATGTTTTCATATTCAGTTATCTACTACCATGAACTTTTAGTTGAACCTGATCACTAAAATTCCGATGAAAAGTACACTGTGTTTAAAGTGTTTAACAAAAGTAGACTGATATTTGTAAGCCTGAGGTCAAATTTTGATCATAGTTCATACAATTTTGTTTGTTTATTACATTTCGATGACTGTTTCATGACTCAGATGATTGCACAAATTTTTAAAACCAAGAGATGTCCTTTTTACATATAAACCTCTGTTAAGTTCGATTAATTTCTCTGAAGAAGTTCGGAACAGTTTACCCAACGAAACGTTGGAATTACGCATTTCAATTTCACTGAGATTTTACAAATATAATATTTACAATGAAGGATGTCGTTGAAAAATGTACCTACAAGATCGAATAATCTAGGCCAGATTAACACGAAACAGTTATCTTTCTACTGTTTCTTTTGACGTCTAGAAAAAGAAATATCACTTTTACAATAAGTAAATATAACCATCCAAAAAAAACATTTCACTGCATGCTCACCTATATTGCATTCACTTGAACCAACAACAGTCAAAAATAATGGAAAGGCTGATCGATATGAAAAGTGAAACTGGCATATCTGAAAAACACACACACATAAAGGAAGTTATTATACATGTTCCGAAGTTCTAAAGCTGAAAATCCACTTAAGTTATTGATGATGTAAAACATGTGTATAAAGGCATGTGTCAATCACTGTAAAACACAAATGACTCAAGTGTGTATTTTGTATCTTACGTGCAGAGTGGGACACAGAGCATCAAGTCTTGAATATTCAGCAGCACTGTTGTATTTACGAGATGAGGTTATCAGCCTTACACCAAACTTGCCCAGAATTACTACGTGGCTAGTAAACTAGGGGAGGTTTAGGTATACGTGTTGGCGAGGAATAGAACACGGGTTACCCATTTGGTTGATGACCATTCTGTCGTCAGACCAGCGATGCACACATGCGTGTGCCTGATAAATACCTTACGTAAGACGGTTAAATAAGTCATGAAAACTCTGCTGGACATCTGTGTTGGAATGTATTCTAATCTTCAAACTTCCGATGTTAGGAAGATATACAGTATAGTCAGCGGTAAATGCACTGCAGCAATTCTTTAATTTGAGATGCAATTAGCACCGGCCGCAGTGAAGCACTTTAAGAGACTCTTTTTGTGTATGAACCTCAAAAGTAAATCATGCTAAAGTCTTTCCTTGGGAATCGCTACCACATAAATCAGTAACTTCAGAAGACCCAATATCAGAATGTAACATGTGTGTCGTCAATATCAACCGAAATATTGTATTCAGATTATTAAGTAACCTAGATATAGGCAAATTAACAGAGCCGGGTGAATTTCATCCAAGGCCTCCCAAGTATCTGATAATGTAAATGGCCTGTCCATTGAGTACTGTCTTCACAAAAATGTGTAACTAAAAAGATGTAGTAGTGACGTAATATCCTCCTGAATAATATGCATAGAAGTCTTAGCAGCAATTTATTAGTTGAATCTCTATCTTCTCTTGTTTATAACTACATTTACCAATTACTTAGTAATCACAATTGCCTCATGGTTCTGTGTAGATTGAGTTTGAGGAAGCAAAAAAAAGTGTATTTTCTGTGAACATATCTTAACAATCACTCAAGTCGATTAAAATAATGTCTGATTTCCACCAACCTATCTCAGTCTGTCGCCATACACATACGGAAGCAGGTGGAATTGTACACAAAATTAGAAAAACACCCTTTCCTACGGCCTATACACATACTGATCTAGGAGTCATGGAGCATTGTTGCTCAGGAATTTAGAACGCTTGAAAACACTCATGGTGTTTATTAGCTTTACAGCTGCAGTAAGTTTTAATTAAAAAATTTGCATTACAGTAGCTCGCCCATGTTTAAGAACAGACACACATGTGACGTTCAATATAAAACGGCTAAGTGGGATAGGTGTCTAGAAAAATTGAAAATATTTTTGTCATACCGTGGGCACGGGGTCCAATCGTTTTAAAAGATAAATATATATCTGGTTCATCTTCCCCACACTATGAAGGAGGAACAATTCCAACGTCAAGGCAGAAGAGATTAAAAGCGAAGGCTGACCTACATGGAAGTACACCACCAGTTATACCATCAATTTAATAACGCTTAAGACCAACTCTAAAAGTAGTCAGTAACTCCAAATGACATTTTCCAGATGACCATAATCAACCACCAGAAAATTCATAGACAGCAGTTCGCGGAATGCTTTTTTAGCTTAGATTCTTGTGACTAACACCCAGCAAGCCATACTGGTTACATCACAATTTTACAAGTGATTACAAAGCACCGGCAAAAGAGTTTACTCATGAATCAGTCTTACTTTTACTGATGAAATACTGAAACACGCTAGAGGTAGGTGGAAGAATTGAGAATTTCGTTAAGACATTAGAGGCTGCGTATTTACACGTCTTATTTGGATTTCTTGACCAACATTGCTACGGAAGACCATGAGATATTTCTGCATATTTTGAGGCAATATTTTTCTTAACGTGTATGCATTAACTTTCACACATTAACTTTGTAAACGTGTTGATTTTTTCACTCGTCATACTTTCTCGACATGTGATAATTCTAAATCTTCTATAATTTCGTTTGTAAGGATTAGTTATGTTTTACGAGTTGATCACGGACTGATATCAGTTAGAGAACCATTGAAAACCAGGGAGTACTGGACAGCTGCTGTTTCATCCTAGTTTGGGAATCATCGGCAGTACGCACCCACTGGGATTCGAACCCGGGACCTTCCGGTTACAAGGCAAGCTCGTATACCATTCGGCCACTGGGACCCGATTCAATGGCTCATGAATTCTAACTTCTACCAATTCGTGATTTTAGCGCGACCCCAACTATTGTCGTTGGTGGAAATCCATCCACACGTGACTTCTAATTGGACCTCACTGGTCACGACTTCTCACTAGAACTGCAGGAAACCCCAACCTGTAGCAAGTCACTAGCGAGCATCAGAATAATCTTCTATAATTTCGTTTGTAAGGATTAGTTATGTTTTACGAGTTGATCACGGACTGATATCAGTTAGAGAACCATTGAAAACCAGGGAGTACTGGACAGCTGCTGTTTCATCCTAGTTTGGGAATCATCGGCAGTACGCACCCACTGGGATTCGAACCCGGGACCTTCCGGTTACAAGGCAAGCTCGTATACCATTCGGCCACTGGGACCCGATTCAATGGCTCATGAATTCTAACTTCTACCAATTCGTGATTTTAGCGCGACCCCAACTATTGTCGTTGGTGGAAATCCATCCACACGTGACTTCTAATTGGACCTCACTGGTCACGACTTCTCACTAGAACTGCAGGAAACCCCAACCTGTAGCAAGTCACTAGCGAGCATCAGAATAATCTTCTATAATTTCGTTTGTAAGGATTAGTTATGTTTTACGAGTTGATCACGGACTGATATCAGTTAGAGAACCATTGAAAACCAGGGAGTACTGGACAGCTGCTGTTTCATCCTAGTTTAAGAATCATCGGCAGTACGCACCCACTGGGATTCGAACCCGGGACCGAATGGTATACGAGCTTGCCTTGTAACCGGAAGGTCCCGGGTTCGAATCCCAGTGGGTGCGTACTGCCGATGATTCCCAAACTAGGATGAAACAGCAGCTGTCCAGTACTCCCTGGTTTTCAATGGTTCTCTAACTGATATCAGTCCGTGATCAACTCGTAAAACATAACTAATCCTTACAAACGAAATTATAGAAGATTATTCTGATGCTCGCTAGTGACTTGCTACAGGTTGGGGTTTCCTGCAGTTCTAGTGAGAAGTCGTGACCAGTGAGGTCCAATTAGAAGTCACGTGTGGATGGATTTCCACCAACGACAATAGTTGGGGTCGCGCTAAAATCACGAATTGGTAGAAGTTAGAATTCATGAGCCATTGAATCGGGTCCCAGTGGCCGAATGGTATACGAGCTTGCCTTGTAACCGGAAGGTCCCGGGTTCGAATCCCAGTGGGTGCGTACTGCCGATGATTCCCAAACTAGGATGAAACAGCAGCTGTCCAGTACTCCCTGGTTTTCAATGGTTCTCTAACTGATATCAGTCCGTGATCAACTCGTAAAACATAACTAATCCTTACAAACGAAATTATAGAAGATTATTCTGATGCTCGCTAGTGACTTGCTACAGGTTGGGGTTTCCTGCAGTTCTAGTGAGAAGTCGTGACCAGTGAGGTCCAATTAGAAGTCACGTGTGGATGGATTTCCACCAACGACAATAGTTGGGGTCGCGCTAAAATCACGAATTGGTAGAAGTTAGAATTCATGAGCCATTGAATCGGGTCCCAGTGGCCGAATGGTATACGAGCTTGCCTTGTAACCGGAAGGTCCCGGGTTCGAATCCCAGTGGGTGCGTACTGCCGATGATTCCCAAACTAGGATGAAACAGCAGCTGTCCAGTACTCCCTGGTTTTCAATGGTTCTCTAACTGATATCAGTCCGTGATCAACTCGTAAAACATAACTAATCCTTACAAACGAAATTATAGAAGATTATTCTGATGCTCGCTAGTGACTTGCTACAGGTTGGGGTTTCCTGCAGTTCTAGTGAGAAGTCGTGACCAGTGAGGTCCAATTAGAAGTCACGTGTGGATGGATTTCCACCAACGACAATAGTTGGGGTCGCGCTAAAATCACGAATTGGTAGAAGTTAGAATTCATGAGCCATTGAATCGGGTCCCAGTGGCCGAATGGTATACGAGCTTGCCTTGTAACCGGAAGGTCCCGGGTTCGAATCCCAGTGGGTGCGTACTGCCGATGATTCCCAAACTAGGATGAAACAGCAGCTGTCCAGTACTCCCTGGTTTTCAATGGTTCTCTAACTGATATCAGTCCGTGATCAACTCGTAAAACATAACTAATCCTTACAAACGAAATTATAGAAGATTATTCTGATGCTCGCTAGTGACTTGCTACAGGTTGGGGTTTCCTGCAGTTCTAGTGAGAAGTCGTGACCAGTGAGGTCCAACTAGAAGTCACGTGTGGATGGATTTCCACCAACGACAATAGTTGGGGTCGCGCTAAAATCACGAATTGGTAGAAGTTAGAATTCATGAGCCATTGAATCGGGTCCCAGTGGCCGAATGGTATACGAGCTTGCCTTGTAACCGGAAGGTCCCGGGTTCGAATCCCAGTGGGTGCGTACTGCCGATGATTCCCAAACTAGGATGAAACAGCAGCTGTCCAGTACTCCCTGGTTTTCAATGGTTCTCTAACTGATATCAGTCCGTGATCAACTCGTAAAACATAACTAATCCTTACAAACGAAATTATAGAAGATTATTCTGATGCTCGCTAGTGACTTGCTACAGGTTGGGGTTTCCTGCAGTTCTAGTGAGAAGTCGTGACCAGTGAGGTCCAATTAGAAGTCACGTGTGGATGGATTTCCACCAACGACAATAGTTGGGGTCGCGCTAAAATCACGAATTGGTAGAAGTTAGAATTCATGAGCCATTGAATCGGGTCCCAGTGGCCGAATGGTATACGAGCTTGCCTTGTAACCGGAAGGTCCCGGGTTCGAATCCCAGTGGGTGCGTACTGCCGATGATTCCCAAACTAGGATGAAACAGCAGCTGTCCAGTACTCCCTGGTTTTCAATGGTTCTCTAACTGATATCAGTCCGTGATCAACTCGTAAAACATAACTAATCCTTACAAACGAAATTATAGAAGATTATTCTGATGCTCGCTAGTGACTTGCTACAGGTTGGGGTTTCCTGCAGTTCTAGTGAGAAGTCGTGACCAGTGAGGTCCAATTAGAAGTCACGTGTGGATGGATTTCCACCAACGACAATAGTTGGGGTCGCGCTAAAATCACGAATTGGTAGAAGTTAGAATTCATGAGCCATTGAATCGGGTCCCAGTGGCCGAATGGTATACGAGCTTGCCTTGTAACCGGAAGGTCCCGGGTTCGAATCCCAGTGGGTGCGTACTGCCGATGATTCCCAAACTAGGATGAAACAGCAGCTGTCCAGTACTCCCTGGTTTTCAATGGTTCTCTAACTGATATCAGTCCGTGATCAACTCGTAAAACATAACTAATCCTTACAAACGAAATTATAGAAGATTATTCTGATGCTCGCTAGTGACTTGCTACAGGTTGGGGTTTCCTGCAGTTCTAGTGAGAAGTCGTGACCAGTGAGGTCCAATTAGAAGTCACGTGTGGATGGATTTCCACCAACGACAATAGTTGGGGTCGCGCTAAAATCACGAATTGGTAGAAGTTAGAATTCATGAGCCATTGAATCGGGTCCCAGTGGCCGAATGGTATACGAGCTTGCCTTGTAACCGGAAGGTCCCGGGTTCGAATCCCAGTGGGTGCGTACTGCCGATGATTCCCAAACTAGGATGAAACAGCAGCTGTCCAGTACTCCCTGGTTTTCAATGGTTCTCTAACTGATATCAGTCCGTGATCAACTCGTAAAACATAACTAATCCTTACAAACGAAATTATAGAAGATTATTCTGATGCTCGCTAGTGACTTGCTACAGGTTGGGGTTTCCTGCAGTTCTAGTGAGAAGTCGTGACCAGTGAGGTCCAATTAGAAGTCACGTGTGGATGGATTTCCACCAACGACAATAGTTGGGGTCGCGCTAAAATCACGAATTGGTAGAAGTTAGAATTCATGAGCCATTGAATCGGGTCCCAGTGGCCGAATGGTATACGAGCTTGCCTTGTAACCGGAAGGTCCCGGGTTCGAATCCCAGTGGGTGCGTACTGCCGATGATTCCCAAACTAGGATGAAACAGCAGCTGTCCAGTACTCCCTGGTTTTCAATGGTTCTCTAACTGATATCAGTCCGTGATCAACTCGTAAAACATAACTAATCCTTACAAACGAAATTATAGAAGATTATTCTGATGCTCGCTAGTGACTTGCTACAGGTTGGGGTTTCCTGCAGTTCTAGTGAGAAGTCGTGACCAGTGAGGTCCAATTAGAAGTCACGTGTGGATGGATTTCCACCAACGACAATAGTTGGGGTCGCGCTAAAATCACGAATTGGTAGAAGTTAGAATTCATGAGCCATTGAATCGGGTCCCAGTGGCCGAATGGTATACGAGCTTGCCTTGTAACCGGAAGGTCCCGGGTTCGAATCCCAGTGGGTGCGTACTGCCGATGATTCCCAAACTAGGATGAAACAGCAGCTGTCCAGTACTCCCTGGTTTTCAATGGTTCTCTAACTGATATCAGTCCGTGATCAACTCGTAAAACATAATTCTAAATGCCTAATTGGTTGATTCCTACCCAAGATTGGTGACTTTATTTACGCCTGATCCAATACTGTGTGTTACTTCTTTCAACTAAGTTATATACAATTAAAGAACATATCAGTAAGGAATAAGAACCCAAGATTCTGCCGTAGATAACTAGCAACAACTAATATAAAGTCAGACCAGAAAGTTTAACTTTCCTAGAGTTAAATTTACACTGACAAATAAATGCCCGTTAGGATCACGTGTTATTAGGGTTTACAAAACAATTATATGCAACGACATACCACCATCTCTTGGTAACTAGTGATCATCCATTCCATTTTCCCAAGGTCCATTTTATTCACTTGCTGTAAAGATACGATGAATGCCGCAGTCACATATGGTAATCGGGCTTGGTCTGGCATGTCATCCAGAGAAGCTGTATCAATTAATTATCACAAGAGTGATAAATATAATTAGGAATTACCGCTCGCAATGACAACGCCATCCTTATCAGCAACAAATATTCCAAGTATACCATCAACTCTAACATATTAAGAACCAAATTCGAAAAAAGCTTACTCTGATAAGAATCTCTTGAGGTGATCACACGCAGACTACTCAGGAATGTTACCGAAATCTAACGACTAACCTCAGACATTAATAGCGGACCACGACCTTGACCACTTTTCAAGGTCGTCCTTACGAAGCAAAAGTAAACCGATTGGATTTGTTTTATACTCGCTTCTTGGTTGTAAAGTATAGGTTCTCGATCTTCAGTTAACTTCTACGTAGTGTATTCCACCATGCATTTGGCGTAGCTTTGAATGGCTCCAATGGGAGTGGTGCAGGAATTACCTATATTTGGTTTGTAAATGCAGTATCATAAAACCGAGTTGCTGCTGTGAATTGAGTTGATGCTTTCACCAGTAAGCTGTCAGATGAGGTCAAAAAGGTGGTGGATAATGATTATAAGTAAAAATATTAGATATAATCAGTGTAGACTATGTGAAATCAAAAAATTTTAAAAATATTAGTAAATCATAATAAAGTAGGTGAGAGAGTATATGTAGTAGTCAGAAGAGTGATACAAGGGAGGAAGGGTATTGGTAACGGAACAGTTTAGATGTATTTCCACTAACAGTGGTGTGTGAGTTTTAAGGGGATAGACAATTTGGACGCAGTTCTTGTGTTGATGCATGATTGTCCGGCCTTTGCTTAGGTCTGTAGCGGTAGGTACTGCTCCAGAATTATTGGCCACAGCAATCATCACTGAACACTGAATGATGACCATCACTGTTTAAGTTGATTTGTTTAGCTGAAGAGTTACGGTCAAGCATCCACGCCATCGTGTTACGTTCGTTCGTGCACGATCCCTAGCTAGTTAAGCAACCACTCGCACTCCGATTTGATCCCGAAATATAATTCACAATTTGGCTGATCAATTCCAGTGTTTCACTTTGCCTTTGGTATACATGGAACGAATACTGTAGAAGTTGTGGCTATTATAGTTTGTGTTAGTACTGGTAGTACGAAGTACTACCAGTGAACGTCAACACCCTCAGCCTCTAAAGTTCGTTTTGTGGATGACGTAGTAGCTACAGTTGCTGGCAAAGAGTCCTTAAAGTGGCGGAATAGAAGCAAGAAGAAATGGGTGAGCTGCGGAGTCTCAGCTATCTGACATGCCATTCCTCTAGTTAGCATGATAAATCCAGTAACGACTTAATGGTAGTGTTACGTTAAATATCTTCACCTTTGAACACAAAAGTTGTACTTTGTGCACCACTTTGCATTTTGTGTTAACTAAACCATTTGTGCTTCATTGAACTGTTATGCACTTTTTGTTCGAATTTATATTTTGTCAATTGTGTGGTTCAACTATTGTGCTCCTTGCGTTCAGACGCCGGATAACCTAATATCTGAAGGTTTGTACCATGTTTACCTGATACATTTCTTCAGTTCTTTGAACCCTTTCCAAAGGATTGATGTCTCTCCGGAGCAACAAGGGAGCAAAGACATTTTGCAATTCAAAGCGTGATCTTACACTTGTTTTGTACAAACTTAGGGAGAGTTCAGAAGCGAGCACACCTGTATATGCGTAAGTTGTATAGCCTTATACTCCCTGGCTACATCACACGCGCTCGTATCCGTTTTTCTGTCAGAACTGAAGCTTAGTCGCACTCTGAAGTTACACAGAGATTAGCTTACGCTCTGAGGCCTACAGGTATGTAGCTGCACTACTGTGCGTTCTTTTAGGTCGAAAGTTATACAGTCGACTAGTAATCAGCCTTCCAGAATTTCCGGTCCGTTCTCAGGTTGTCTGAGTCTTCGAAGAAATTTAGTCCTCTCCGTATTTTTGCGTCGACGGTGCAACGAAGAGACGAACAATTTGGACGGCACAGTAGGCCACTGGCAAAAATCAAAAGCACTGGAGGTTTTAGAATGGAATCTTGTGGTTCATCCGATGATGAAGTTTATCAGAATGATGGGACATGACTGATCTTGGTGTGGAATTCACTTCCGTCTAAACAGCCCTCCTGCCATGAGAGAAGTGGGTAACCAATGCTTGCCTAACTTATTTCGTAAAGGAGAATATCGAAAGCCTTACAGTAGCTGAGGAAGATCAAACAAGCCGTTAGATAAATATCCCAGAGTGATGTCCAACCAATCGGAGCTGGTAACTGTTTGTCAAATAGGTTCTACATCTCCTGAAACTATATTTTGCCTCATGGAGTAAGTTAGTTCTGTTGTAGTGTCGCCAGATATGACCATCAGTCAAACTGTTCAGTGCCATCAATATCACTGGGAGTAGCATAACTAATCTGTAGGTCGCCGCGTTTCGCCTATCCTCATCCTTTAAGATAGGAGCAGGGATGGCTCTCTTCCACTCTCTTGGCAGTTTCTCTGAATCCATGAAGTGTTGGAGCAGATCACTTGAGGGTCTGCAGAGAGCTTCGGCTCACTGTTTCAGAACAGATGGTCGAAAGTCACCCCGAGCTGGGGGCTTTTCAGAGGTGAGGTGACCGAACTTCCGTAGGACCACTGAGGGGCTACTCTGAGGTTTATATATTAGGTTTTCTCTCAGAGAGATCCCTACAGCTTGTAGTGGCAATACTCATAATGCCGCTTAGTTGCCTATTAAGGAACAAGCTAAATGTTTCAGAGATTTCCAAACTAGTAAGATATTGACCAATCGAACATCCTAAGACAGACGTTCCCTGATTGTTCGGTTTTCTTTCCTACATGAGCCCGCATAGGCCTTCGGTGTTTTCCAATAGTACTCTGGGAGAATTTAGGCAAAATGCATTACTGTCACTCCGAACTCTTGTGTTGCATAAGCTCTTGAGGTCGAGATATGTCTGATGGGCGAACTAGCTCTTCGAGAGTTTCCATGTAAACCAGTCTTTCCGCCCTAATTGCATAATGCGCTGCATGCCTCTCTTCAGCTATGAGGATCGCATCCTAGTTTCTGGGGTGACGAAAGGGATGTGTGTGAATGACCCCTCATGACATTTTCCTGAAGTTCCCCTAATAATATCTCACCCCAGTCTGTGGGGCCGAAGTTCATCAAAATGGCTGAACCTCCGGCGTTACATTGTAAACGATCCATCTTTTTATCTGTGTGAACTAAAACACACGGTGGTGAATTAGACTGTTAGCCGGCAAGAACGTGTTGGATAAGTGTAGTTTGATTGTGTACCTCCCCACTTTCTACATACCGTCGTCAATAAATACAACTTGAGCAGACACAAGCGTTGTATCCTCCCTTCAGTTGGAACATCGTTAAGAACAGCCTGGTCGCTTGGCCAGGTAGCAGAGTCTAAACAGTCAACGGGCAGTGTGGCCAGAGCTCAGGTCTAGGTAGGGTAGATGGTCACACAGCAGTCATTAGGGTTATTTCTAGTTGCGGCCACCTGAAGCGAGCTAGAAGTCGTTCCATTTGACTCACTAGCTGGTCTCCTAATATAACAGGTGGCGTTCGTGTTTCAAGGTGTCAAGGAAAATCCAGAGCGACAAGTCGATTCACTGTAAGCCACATCATCTTTAGCCAAGTTGTGCACGATGTCGTCGATGAGTGATTGCGCATCAGTGTGATGGAGGTATGCGTGCCGTCCCTCTCAGTTCGCCTTCCATTTCAGCCCTGTCCTTGTTGACCCGGGTCTCTTAGTAACAGCCAAGTCAGCATGTGCTTGTCGTGATGGAAAAAACGGATGGATCTCTTTTCTGCCTCGGAGTATCAATGTTGTGAACATTAAAGGAATTTTCGGTGAACTTTCCTATTCCAATTAGTTCCGTTTGCGCTGAAGATTACCGCGGCTTTTAAGTTTGCTCGTCGGTGGAAGACCAAAGCAACACGATCGGGTGTGTTGATGTGTGTTATACTGACGCCGATTGTAGACCTGGAATCAGTGTATTTATGTTAACCGACTGTGGTCTTAATGATCAAACTGCTGTGTAGTCAACTCCACCGTATTGGTTAGTTGTTGACTGAGCAATAAATCTTCGACGTTCCCATCTGTCTTTTAATATAAGTTGTACTGAGGCTCAGTTAGTTATTAGGCACCTAACTAGTGTTCTGAATCTTGGATCGTTACCTTCTGACAACAGCAGCAGTAATTCTCGATAGCCTTGTTCATGGTTTCTGATCAACTCAGTTTACATGAGCAGCTGACCGAGAAATCACTCTTCAAGCTGGTTGGATAATTCCGATGGAACTGGCCTGCTATAGCTTGTCCCTGAGGTTTAGTTAAGACAGTTGGGTGATATTGGTTATCGTCTTCCCTTTCGACCACTACAGTTTCATTAAGGCATATAGACTTGCTGTAGTCTCAGTCTGCCACCTCCTTAGGGTAGGGAGCGGCTTTTGTAGCCTCACATATGTCAACCAAATTTATCCTTTGTGTCACACCACAGTTGCAGCACTATGGCCCATAGCCCCTGGGATTTGAATTTGATGGCTGGTAGCCATGGTGAGCTAGCCGACTTGAGGTGAGTGGGATGAGGCCGGATATAAGTCTAGATCGTCCCAGAACCACAAAGGGCCACCTTAGATGACAGCGAAAAACGTTATCAAGGCGTTATTTGCTAAAATCCAATATCTATTTACTAATTTGTATAAACTTAACAGCTTCTTAGAGCTAGCTATTTTGTCTTTTTTAAAAGCTGGGAATCCTTGGAGATTTCCGGAGCAATCCGTTCCCTCGATTTCTGCAGCCCTCTTGGATGGAATAGAGGGTGGTTTGTACTAGGACACTGGCGCTTCTCAGGCTGGCCTGTCTCGCTTTTCTAGACGGTCTTCCAGTTAAGTGGACAAACAGCCCACTGAAAGCCTTTACTTGCAAGGCAGAAAAATGGAGAGAATACTTGCATAAAATAGCTGTAAGATGGGGCAGAAGTTAGTGTAGGACAGATAAAGCAGTGTGAGCAAGCTCACACTTCAGAAAAGGAGAACAGTAAAATGGGGCAAGTTGGAAGATGAAAAAGCAAAATCGAATTGTTGCAGCCCATGTACGAATACTGATCTGATGATACGGACTCGGAGCCTTCGACCAAAATCCACAATAAAACTGAACTGTTCCAAATAGATTTACATTGAAACCAAAACTGTTGGAGAAATTGAGAGATTTTTCTGCCCTATTTAGCAAAATGCATCAGAAATTATGGTACAAACGTTCAAATATGAGGTTATCCGACACCCATATCCAAGAGCATAACG